TCTGATTGGTCTGACTCGTGAGTTTCTCCAGGTGCTAATGCCATCCCGGAATGACGATCTTGCTGTCGAGCGGCACGGTCGGTCGGAGGCCATGATCGCGACGAGGTGTGAATTGGAAGGTATGGACGGGAAGAGGACCGTGTGAGGATGTGAGAAGGTGATGTAGGGTGTGTTGTGTGATTGTTGGTGTGTGTAATTTCGTATTATCGAAAGTGAGGAAATTGCGGGTCGGCTTGCTCTTTCGTAAGAGCCCCCTATAGCTCAGGGGTAGAGCACCCGCTTAGTAAGCGGAAGGTCGGTAGTTCAATCCTGCGTGAGAGCAAATTCCTTTGCAATCGTTTCACATCCGATGCCTCTCCGTGTCGGTCGTGAGCGAGCGATGCTTCGCAGCGTCTTTGCTCTTTTGCCCCTTTACCACATTGCCCTTGTGCACGCACATGCACACATTGCTCATTCAGCGCAACACTGCTAATTCTACGCAACACTGCTAATTCTGCGCAACACTGCTCATTTGGCGCAGGATACTGTTGGTAACGCTCACCATTTGCCGTACTGTTCCCCGCTGAGTCAAACACATTTCCAACTCAGTTGCCCTCGTAGCTTTCCACGAACACATACGTCGACGCTTTGTGGTGTCGGATTGGTCTGACTCGTGAGTTTCTCCAGGTGCTAATGCCATCCCGGATTGAGGAGCTTGCTGTCGAGCGGCACGGTCGGTCGGAGGCCATGATCGCGACGAGGTGTGAATTGGAAGGTATGGACGGGAAGAGGACTGTGTGAGGATGTGAGAAGGTGATATAGGGTGTGTTGTGTGATTGTTGGTGTGTGTAATTCGTATTATCGAGGTGAAGAAAACGCGGTCGGCTTGCTCTTTCGTAAGAGCCCCTATAGCTCAGTGGTAGAGCACCCGCTTAGTAAGCGGAAGGTCGGTAGTTCAATCCTGCCTGGGGGCAAATTCCTTGCAATCGTTTCACATCCGATACCTCTCCGTGTCGGCCGTGAGCGAGCCGTGCTTCGCGGCGTCTTTGCTCTTTTGCCCCTTTGCCACATTGCCCTTGTGCAAACACATGCACACATTGCTCATTCAGCGCAACACTGCTAATTCTGCGCAACACTGCTCATTCGGCGCAGGATACTGTTGGTAACGCTCATCATTTGCCGCACTGTTCCCCGCTGAGTCAAACACATTTCCAACTCAGTTGCCCTCGTAGCTTTCCACGAAGACATACGTCGACGCTTTGTGGTGTCGGATTGGTCTGACTCGTGCGTTTCTCCAGGTGCTAATGCCATCCCGGATTGAGGAGCTTGCTGTCGAGCGGCACGGTCGGTTGGAGGCCATGATCGCGACGAGGTGTGAATTGGAAGGTATGGACGGGAAGAGGACCGTGTGAGGATGTAAAAAGGTGATATAGGGTGTGTTGTGTGATTGTTGGTGTGTGTAATTTCGTATTATCGAGGTGAAGAAAATGCGGTCGGCTTGCTCTTTCGTAAGAGCCCCTATAACTCCATAGTAGGACCCCCCGCTAGTAAAGCGAAGGTTGGTAAGTCCATTCCTGCTGGGGGCCAAATCCCTGCCAATCGTTTCACATCCGAAATCTTTCCGTGTCGGTCGTGAGCGTGCCATGCTTCGCGGCGGCTTTGCTCTTTTGCCCCTTTGCCACATTGTTCTTGTGCAAACACATGCCCCCATTGCTCATTCAGCGCAACACTGCTAATTCTACGCAACACTGCTCATTCGGCGCAGGATACTGTTGGTAACGCTCATCATTTGTCGCAATGGTCCCCGCTGAGTCGAACGCATTTCCGAGTCAGTTGCCCTCGTAGCATTCCACTGACACATACGTCGTCGCTTTGTAGAGTCGGATTGGGTCTTGACTCGGTGAGTATCTCCAGGAGCTAATGGCATTCCCGGATTGAGGAGCTTGCTGTCGAGCGGCACGGTCGGTCGGAAGCCATGATCGCGACGAGGTGTGAATTGGAAGGTATGGACGGGAAGAGGACCGTGTGAGGATGTGAGAAGGTGATGTAGGGTGTGTTGTGTGATTGTTGGTGTGTGTAATTCGTATTATCGAGGTGAAGAAAATGCGGTCGGCTTGCTCTTTCGTAAGAGCCCCTATAGCTCAGTGGTAGAGCACCCGCTTAGTAAGCGGAAGGTCGGTAGTTCAATCCTGCCTGGGGGCCAATTCCTTGCAATCGTTTCACATCCGGTACCTCTCCGTGTCGGTCGTGAGCGTGCCGTGCTTCGCGGCGTCTTTGCTCTTTTGCCCCTTTGCCACATTGCCCTTGTGCACGCACATGCACACATTGCTCATTCAGCGCAACACTGCTAATTCTACGCAACACTGCTAATTCTGCGCAACACTGCTCATTTGGCGCAGGATACTGTTGGTAACGCTCACCATTTGCCGTACTGTTCCCCGCTGAGTCAAACACATTTCCAACTCAGTTGCCCTCGTAGCTTTCCACGAAGACATACGTCGACGCTTTGTGGTGTCGGATTGGTCTGACTCGTGAGTTTCTCCAGGTGCTAATGCCATCCCGGAATGAGGAGCTTGCTGTCGAGCGGCACGGTCGGTCGGAGGCCATGATCGCGACGAGGTGTGAATTGGAAGGTATGGACGGGAAGAGGACCGTGTGAGGATGTAAAAAGGTGATGTAGGGTGTGTTGTGTGATTGCTGGTCTGTAATTCGTATTATCGAGGTGAAGAAAATGCGGTCGGCTTGCTCTTTCGTAAGAGCCCCTATAGCTCAGTGGTAGAGCACCCGCTTAGTAAGCGGAATGTCGGTAGTTCAATCCTGCCTGGGGGCAAATTCCTTGCAATCGTTTCACATCCGATACCTCTCCGTGTCGGTCGTGAGCGAGCCGTGCTTCGCGGCGTCTTTGCTCTTTTGCCCCTTTGCCACATTGCCCTTGTGCACGCACATGCACACATTGCTCATTCAGCGCAGCACTGCTAATTCAGCGCAACACTGCTCATTCGGCGCAGGATACTGTTGGTAACGCTCATCATTTGCCGCCCTGTTCCCCGCTGAGTCAAACACATTTCCAACTCAGTTGCCCTCGTAGCTTTCCACGACGACATACGTCGCCGCTTTGTGGTGTCGGATTGGTCTGACTCGTGAGTTTCTCCAGGTGCTAATGCCATCCCGGATTGACGAGCTTGCTGTCGAGCGGCACGGTCGGTCGGAGGCCATGATCGCGACGAGGTGTGAATTGGAAGGTATGGACGGGAAGAGGACCGTGTGAGGATGTGAGAAGGTGATGTAGGGTGTGTTGTGTGATTGTTGGTGTGTGTAATTCGTATTATCGAGGTGAAGAAAATGCGGTCGGCTTGCTCTTTCGTAAGAGCCCCTATAGCTCAGTGGTAGAGCACCCGCTTAGTAAGCGGAAGGTCGGTAGTTCAATCCTGCCTGGGGGCAAATTCCTTGCAATCGTTTCACATCCCATACCTCTGCCGTGTCGGTCGTGAGCGAACCGTGCTTCGCGGCGTCTTTGCTCTTTTGCCCCTTTGCCACATTGCCCTTGTGCACGCACATGCACACATTGCTCAATTCAGCGCAACACTGGCTAATTCTGCGGCAACACTGCTAATTCTGCGCAGGACACTGCTCATTTGGCGCAGGATACTGTTAGTAACGCTCACCATTTGCCGTACTGTTCCCCGCTGAGTCAAACACATTTCCAACTCAGTTGCCCTCGTAGCTTTCCACGAAGACATACGTCGACGCTTTGTGGTGTCGGATTGGTCTGACTCGTGAGTTTCTCCAGGTGCTAATGCCATCCCGGATTGAGGAGCTTGCTGTCGAGCGGCACGGTCGGTCGGAGGCCATGATCGCGACGAGGTGTGACATTGGAAGGTATGGACGGGAAGAGGACCGTGTGAGGCATGTAAAAAGGTGATATAGGGTGTGTTGTGTGATTGTTGGTGTGTGTAATTCGTATTATCGAGGTGAAGAAAATGCGGTCGGCTTGCTCTTTCGTAAGAGCCCCTATAGCTCAGTGGTAGAGCACCCGCTTAGTAAGCGGAAGGTCGGTAGTTCAATCCTGCCTGGGGGCAAATTCCTTGCAATCGTTTCACATCCGATACCTCTCCGTGTCGGTCGTGAGCGAGCCGTGCTTCGCGGCGTCTTTGCTCTTTTGCCCCTTTGCCACATTGCCCTTGTGCACGCACATGCACACATTGCTCATTCAGCGCAGCACTGCTAATTCTGCGCAACACTGCTCATTCGGCGCAGGATACTGTTGGTAACGCTCATCATTTGCCGTACGGCTCCCCGCTGAGTCAAACACATTTCCAACTCAGTTGCCCTCGTAGCTTTCCACGAAGACATACGTCGCCGCTTTGTGGTGTCGGATTAGTCTGACGCGTGAGTTTCTCCAGGTGCTAATGCCAACCCGGAATGACGAGCTTGCTGTCGAGCGGCACGGTCGGTCGGAGGCCATGATCGCGACGAGGTGTGAATTGGAAGGTATGGACGGGAAGAGGACCGTGTGAGGATGTGAGAAGGTGATATAGGGGTGTGTTGTGTGATTGTTGGTGTGTGTAATTCGTATTATCGAGGTGCAGAAAATGCGGTCGGCTTGCTCTTTCGTAAGAGCCCCTATAGCTCAGTGGTAGAGCACCCGCTTAGTAAGCGGAAGGTCGGTAGTTCAATCCTGCCTGGGGGCAAATTCCTTGCAATCGTTTCACATCCGATGCCTCTCCGTGTCGGTCGTGAGCGAGCCGTGCTTCGCGGCGTCTTTGCTCTTTTGCCCCTTTGCCACATTGCCCTTGTGCACGCACATGCACACATTGCTCATTCAGCGCAACACTGCTAATTCTGCGCAACACTGCTCATTCGGCGCAGGATACTGTTGGTAACGCTCATCATTTGCCGTACTGTTCCCCGCTGAGTCAAACACATTTCCAACTCAGTTGCCCTCGTAGCTTTCCACGAAGACATACGTCGACGCTTTGTGGTGTCGGATTAGTCTGACGCGTGAGTTTCTCCAGGTGCTAATGCCATCCCGGATTGAGGAGCTTGCTGTCGAGCGGCACGGTCGGTCGGAGGCCATGATCGCGACGAGGTGTGAATTGGAAGGTATGGACGGGAAGAGGACTGTGTGAGGATGTGAGAAGGTGATATAGGGTGTGTTGTGTGATTGTTGGTGTGTGTAATTCGTATTATCGAGGTGAAGAAAACGCGGTCGGCTTGCTCTTTCGTAAGAGCCCCTATAGCTCAGTGGTAGAGCACCCGCTTAGTAAGCGGAAGGTCGGTAGTTCAATCCTGCCTGGGGGCAAATTCCTTGCAATCGTTTCACATCCGATACCTCTCCGTGTCGGTCGTGAGCGAGCCGTGCTTCGCGGCGTCTTTGCTCTTTTGCCCCTTTGCCACATTGCCCTTGTGCACGCACATGCACACATTGCTCATTCAGCGCAACACTGCTAATCTACGCAACACTGCTCACTCTGCGCAGCACTGCGCTATTGGCGCAGGAATACTGGTCGTAACGCTCACCAATTGGCCGTACTGATTCCCCGCTGAGTCAAACACATTTTCCCAACTCAGTTGCCCTCGTAGCTTTCCACGAAGACATACGTCGACGCTTTGTGGTGGTCGGATTAGTCTGACGCGTGAGTTTCTCCAGGTGCTAATGCCAACCCGGATTCGAGCTTGCTGTCGAGCGGCACGGTCGGTCGGAGGCCATGATCGCGACGAGGTGTGAATTGGAAGGTATGGACGGGAAGAGGACCGTGTGAGGATGTGAGAAGGTGATGTAGGGTGTGTTGTGTGATTGTTGGTGTGTGTAATTCGTATTATCGAGGTGAAGAAAATGTGGTCGGCTTGTTCTTTTTGAAGAGCCCCTATAGCTCAGTGGTAGAGCACCCGCTTACCAAGCGGAATGTCGGTAGTTCAATCCTGCCTGGGGGCAAATTCCTTGCAATCGTTTCTATCCGATACCTCCCCGTGTCGGTCTTGAGCGAGCCGAGCTCCCCGGTGTCTTGGTTCTTTTGCCCCTTTGCCACATTGCCCTTGTGCACGCACATGTCACACATTGCTCATTCAGCGCAGCACTGCTAATTCAGCGCAACACTGCTCATTCGGCGCAGGATACTGTTGGTAACGCTCATCATTTGCCGTACTGTTCCCCGCGTGAGTCAAACACATTTCCAACTCAGTTGCCCTCCTAGCTTTCCACGAAGACATACCTCGCCGCTTTGTGGTGTCGGATTGGTCTGACTCGTGAGTTTCTCCAGGTGCTAATGCCATCCCGGATTGAGGAGCTTGCTGTCGAGCGGCACGGTCGGTCGGAGGCCATGATCGCGACGAGGTGTGAATTGGAAGGTATGGACGGGAAGAGGACTGTGTGAGGATGTGAGAAGGTGATATAGGGTGTGTTGTGTGATTGTTGGTGTGTGTAATTCGTATTATCGAGGTGCAGAAAATGCGGTCGGCTTGCTCTTTCGTAAGAGCCCCTATAGCTCAGTGGTAGAGCACCCGCTTAGTAAGCGGAAGGTCGGTAGTTCAATCCTGCCTGGGGGCAAATTCCATGCAATCGTTTCACATCCGATGCCTCTCCGTGTCGGTCGTGAGCGAGCCGTGCTTCGCGGCGTCTTTGCTCTTTTGCCCCTTTGCCACATTGCCCTTGTGCACGCACATGCACACATTGCTCATTCAGCGCAACACTGCTAATTCTGCGCAACACTGCTCATTCGGCGCAGGATACTGTTGGTAACGCTCATCATTTGCCGCACTGTTCCCCGCTGAGTCAAACACATTTCCAACTCAGTTGCCCTCGTAGCTTTCCACGAAGACATACGTCGCCGCTTTGTGGTGTCGGATTGGTCTGACTCGTGAGTTTCTCCAGGTGCTAATGCCATCCCGGATTGAGGAGCTTGCTGTCGAGCGGCACGGTCGGTCGGAGGCCATGATCGCGACGAGGTGTGAATTGGAAGGTATGGACGGGAAGAGGACCGTGTGAGGATGTAAAAAGGTGATATAGGGTGTGTTGTGTGATTGTTGGTGTGTGTAATTCGTATTATCGAGGTGAAGAAAATGCGGTCGGCTTGCTCTTTCGTAAGAGCCCCTATAGCTCAGTGGTAGAGCACCCGCTTAGTAAGCGGAAGGTCGGTAGTTCAATCCTGCCTGGGGGCAAATTCCTTGCAATCGTTTCACATCCGGTACCTCTCCGTGTCGGTCGTGAGCGAGCCGTGCTTCGCGGCGTCTTTGCTCTTTTGCCCCTTTGCCACATTGCCCTTGTGCACGCACATGCACACATTGCTCATTCAGCGCAACACTGCTAATTCTGCGCAACACTGCTCATTTGGCGCAGGATACTGTTGGTAACGCTCACCATTTGCCGTACTGTTCCCCGCTGAGTCAAACACATTTCCAACTCAGTTGCCCTCGTAGCTTTCCACGAAGACATACGTCGCCGCTTTGTGGTGTCGGATTGGTCTGACTCGTGAGTTTCTCCAGGTGCTAATGCCATCCCGGATTGAGGAGCTTGCTGTCGAGCGGCACGGTCGGTCGGAGGCCATGATCGCGACGAGGTGTGAATTGGAAGGTATGGACGGGAAGAGGACCGTGTGAGGATGTAAAAAGGTGATATAGGGTGTGTTGTGTGATTGTTGGTGTGTGTAATTCGTATTATCGAGGTGAAGAAAATGCGGTCGGCTTGCTCTTTCGTAAGAGCCCCTATAGCTCAGTGGTAGAGCACCCGCTTAGTAAGCGGAAGGTCGGTAGTTCAATCCTGCCTGGGGGCAAATTCCTTGCAATCGTTTCACATCCGATACCTCTCCGTGTCGGTCGTGAGCGAGCCGTGCTTCGCGGCGTCTTTGCTCTTTTGCCCCTTTGCCACATTGCCCTTGTGCACGCACATGCACACATTGCTCATTCAGCGCAACACTGCTAATTCTACGCAACACTGCTAATTCTGCGCAACACTGCTCATTTGGCGCAGGATACTGTTGGTAACGCTCACCATTTGCCGTACTGTTCCCCGCTGAGTCAAACACATTTCCAACTCAGTTGCCCTCGTAGCTTTCCACGAAGACATACGTCGACGCTTTGTGGTGTCGGATTGGTCTGACTCGTGAGTTTCTCCAGGTGCTAATGCCATCCCGGATTGAGGAGCTTGCTGTCGAGCGGCACGGTCGGTCGGAGGCCATGATCGCGACGAGGTGTGAATTGGAAGGTATGGACGGGAAGAGGACTGTGTGAGGATGTGAGAAGGTGATATAGGGTGTGTTGTGTGATTGTTGGTGTGTGTAATTCGTATTATCGAGGTGAAGAAAACGCGGTCGGCTTGCTCTTTCGTAAGAGCCCCTATAGCTCAGTGGTAGAGCACCCGCTTAGTAAGCGGAAGGTCGGTAGTTCAATCCTGCCTGGGGGCAAATTCCTTGCAATCGTTTCACATCCGATACCTCTCCGTGTCGGTCGTGAGCGAGCCGTGCTTCGCGGCGTCTTTGCTCTTTTGCCCCTTTGCCACATTGCCCTTGTGCACGCACATGCACACATTGCTCATTCAGCGCAACACTGCTAATTCTGCGCAACACTGCTCATTCGGCGCAGGATACTGTTGGTAACGCTCATCATTTGCCGCACTGTTCCCCGCTGAGTCAAACACATTTCCAACTCAGTTGCCCTCGTAGCTTTCCACGAAGACATACGTCGCCGCTTTGTGGTGTCGGATTGGTCTGACTCGTGAGTTTCTCCAGGTGCTAATGCCATCCCGGATTGAGGAGCTTGCTGTCGAGCGGCACGGTCGGTCGGAGGCCATGATCGCGACGAGGTGTGAATTGGAAGGTATGGACGGGAAGAGGACCGTGTGAGGATGTAAAAAGGTGATATAGGGTGTGTTGTGTGATTGTTGGTGTGTGTAATTCGTATTATCGAGGTGAAGAAAATGCGGTCGGCTTGCTCTTTCGTAAGAGCCCCTATAGCTCAGTGGTAGAGCACCCGCTTAGTAAGCGGAAGGTCGGTAGTTCAATCCTGCCTGGGGGCAAATTCCTTGCAATCGTTTCACATCCGGTACCTCTCCGTGTCGGTCGTGAGCGAGCCGTGCTTCGCGGCGTCTTTGCTCTTTTGCCCCTTTGCCACATTGCCCTGGTGCACGCACATGCACACATTGCTCATTCAGCGCAACACTGCTAATTCTGCGCAACACTGCTCATTTGGCGCAGGATACTGTTGGTAACGCTCACCATTTGCCGTACTGTTCCCCGCTGAGTCAAACACATTTCCAACTCAGTTGCCCTCGTAGCTTTCCACGAAGACATACGTCGACGCTTTGTGGTGTCGGATTGGTCTGACTCGTGCGTTTCTCCAGGTGCTAATGCCATCCCGGATTGAGGAGCTTGCTGTCGAGCGGCACGGTCGGTCGGAGGCCATGATCGCGACGAGGTGTGAATTGGAAGGTATGGACGGGAAGAGGACTGTGTGAGGATGTGAGAAGGTGATATAGGGTGTGTTGTGTGATTGTTGGTGTGTGTAATTCGTATTATCGAGGTGAAGAAAACGCGGTCGGCTTGCTCTTTCGTAAGAGCCCCTATAGCTCAGTGGTAGAGCACCCGCTTAGTAAGCGGAAGGTCGGTAGTTCAATCCTGCCTGGGGGCAAATTCCTTGCAATCGTTTCACATCCGATGCCTCTCCGTGTCGGTCGTGAGCGAGCGGTGCTTCGCGGCGTCTTTGCTCTTTTGCCCCTTTGCCACATTGCCCTTGTGCACGCACATGCACACATTGCTCATTCAGCGCAACACTGCTAATTCTGCGCAACACTGCTCATTCGGCGCAGGATACTGTTAGTAACGCTCATCATTTGCCGTACTGTTCCCCGCTGAGTCAAACACATTTCCAACTCAGTTGCCCTCGTAGCTTTCCACGAAGACATACGTCGACGCTTTGTGGTGTCGGATTGGTCTGACTCGTGAGTTTCTCCAGGTGCTAATGCCATCCCGGATTGAGGAGCTTGCTGTCGAGCGGCACGGTCGGTCGGAGGCCATGATCGCGACGAGGTGTGAATTGGAAGGTATGGACGGAAAGAGGACCGTGTGAGGATGTAAAAAGGTGATATAGGGTGTGTTGTGTGATTGTTGGTGTGTGTAATTCGTATTATCGAGGTGAAGAAAATGCGGTCGGCTTGCTCTTTCGTAAGAGCCCCTATAGCTCAGTGGTAGAGCACCCGCTTAGTAAGCGGAAGGTCGGTAGTTCAATCCTGCCTGGGGGCAAATTCCTTGCAATCGTTTCACATCCGATACCTTTCCGTGTCGGTCGTGAGCGAGCCGTGCTTCGCGGCGTCTTTGCTCTTTTGCCCCTTTGCCACATTGCCCTTGTGCACGCACATGCACACATTGCTCATTCAGCGCAACACTGCTAATTCTACGCAACACTGCTAATTCTGCGCAACACTGCTCATTTGGCGCAGGATACTGTTGGTAACGCTCACCATTTGCCGTACTGTTCCCCGCTGAGTCAAACACATTTCCAACTCAGTTGCCCTCGTAGCTTTCCACGAAGACATACGTCGACGCTTTGTGGTGTCGGATTGGTCTGACGCGTGAGTTTCTCCAGGTGCTAATGCCAACCCGGAATGAGGAGCTTGCTGTCGAGCGGCACGGTCGGTCGGAGGCCATGATCGCGACGAGGTGTGAATTGGAAGGTATGGACGGGAAGAGGACTGTGTGAGGATGTGAGAAGGTGATATAGGGTGTGTTGTGTGATTGTTGGTGTGTGTAATTCGTATTATCGAGGTGAAGAAAATGCGGTCGGCTTGCTCTTTCGTAAGAGCCCCTATAGCTCAGTGGTAGAGCACCCGCTTAGTAAGCGAAAGGTCGGTAGGTCAATGCAGCGTGGGGACAAATTCCCTGCACTCGTGTCACATCCGGTAACTCTCCGTGTCGGTCGTGAGCGTGCCGTTCTTCGCGGCGTCTTTGCTCTTTTCGCCGCTTTGCCACATTGTCCTTGTGCACGCACATGCACACATTGCTCATTCAGCGCAACACTGCTAATTCTGCGCAACACTGCTAATTCTGCGCAACACTGCTCATTCGGCGCAGGATACTGTTGGTAACGCTCACCATTTGCCGTACTGTTCCCCGCTGAGTCAAACACATTTCCAACTCAGTTGCCCTCGTAGCTTTCCACGAAGACATACGTCGCCGCTTTGTGGTGTCGGATTGGTCTGACTCGTGAGTTTCTCCAGGTGCTAATGCCATCCCGGATTGAGGAGCTTGCTGTCGAGCGGCACGGTCGGTCGGAGGCCATGATCGCGACGAGGTGTGAATTGGAAGGTATGGACGGGAAGAGGACCGTGTGAGGATGTAAAAAGGTGATATAGGGTGTGTTGTGTGATTGTTGGTGTGTGTAATTCGTATTATCGAGGTGCAGAAAATGCGGTCGGCTTGCTCTTTCGTAAGAGCCCCTATAGCTCAGTAGTAGAGCACCCGCTTAGTAAGCGGAAGGTCGGTAGTTCAATCCTGCCTGGAGGCAAATTCCTTGCAATCGTTTCACATCCGATATCTCTCCGTGTCGGTCGTGAGCGTGCCGTGCTTCGCGGCGTCTTTGCTCTTTTGCCCCTTTGCCACATTGCCCTTGTGCACGCACATGCACACATTGCTCATTCAGCGCAACACTGCTAATTCTGCGCAACACTGCTAATTCTGCGCAACACTGCTCATTTGGCGCAGGATACTGTTGGTAACGCTCACCATTTGCCGTACTGTTCCCCGCTGAGTCAAACACATTTCCAACTCAGTTGCCCTCGTAGCTTTCCACGAAGACATACGTCGACGCTTTGTGGTGTCGGATTGGTCTGACTCGTGCGTTTCTCCAGGTGCTAATGCCATCCCGGATTGAGGAGCTTGCTGTCGAGCGGCACGGTCGGTCGGAGG